CATCCATCCATCCATCTATCTAACCTTTGCATTCGCATATACATTAGCAGCCTTTGTTTTCTCTTTTAGATAGCTTTGTCATTAGCCTGGACCCTAGAACTGCAACAACTGAGGGACTTCTTCAAGTGGAAGTGAACCACTCAGGGAAGATATTTGTATGTGGTAATGATCTGAGTATAAATGAAGCCAATGTAGCTTGCAGACATCTGGGTTTCCCAGAGTAAGTTTTGGGGAGTAGAATACAGAAGTGTTTAATGTTGATGCATGCTGCTTACAGGATTTATTCATTTTTGTTAGATTTCTATCCTATCTTTTCTCCAGGAGTTAAGGCAACATACATAAGTGTTCCTTCCTCCATCCCCCACCTCCCCCAAAATAGGTCACCCAGTGAGTTGACTTGAGGGTTGACTTGACCATGGGTTAGGGTTAGGGTTGCTGACTGGGATGTCTGGGAGTCATAATCCAATATACCTTGGGGATGTGAGGAATGAGAAGACTGAATCCAAAATTCAGAGCAATATCTCTCTGAAGGAATCTAAGTTTTCCATTTAGAATATCACAGCTTCAGTCAGTAGAACTTTGAGTTACAGGATCTCTGACAACAGGACCTGGAAATTTTTTTTTCTAGTGATGAGGGAGAATTGCTACCATGGCTTACATTAGAGTGGAATAGTTGCCAATCCTAGTCTGCTACAAGTTATTGCCAGCTCTAGTCATTTGCTGTCTTGGAGTCTGAGACAGAGATTCTAGATAAGCAGCTACCTTGTATTGAATCAGATCACTAGTTAGATCAATATTATATCAGTCTTCCCCAACTTGATTTTCTTCATGTTATTGTGGTGCCACTCTCAGAATTCCTTCCAACATAATATATATGCTGCTTGGTAATTGTGGAGTTGCAGTGCTAGCTGCTTCTACTGTTTCTGTCTAATAATAGCAACAACTAAAAAAAATCCCACCCCTCACACAGATAGATTTCTGGAACAAAATGCTTGAGAATAAAGGGTGGAATTTAATCAATGGTCTTCTGAATTTGGGAGTTTGGTTCTGATTCTGAACTGATGTTATGCCCGAAGACATCTTGTTCCTTCACTATTGCCTATGTCAGGGCAAGCTCAAATCATTTCAAGCGATATGTGAGCTGTTAACCCAAGGACTGCAACACTGAAACCTTTTCATACACCTATACAAAAGTCTCTAGTAAGTAAAAAATGAAGAAAATTAAGGGTATCACACTTTAAAACATAAATTTATTATTTTTTTAAAAAATCCTTTACAATGCAACAGAGCTAACTGAATGAGCAATATTGTGTTTTATATCCTGGGACTAAGCCAACTTCAATGTTGCTTACAAATGTTCATCAGTTAACCTTGATTTCAATACAAAAGAGTTTTCAGAGAAAGAAAAACTACTGACAGACATCTGTATGTATTGCCAAACACTGCCAGCATCCGTGAGGAAATTGTGAGTAACTTGTAAGATATTTCTTGGGAAAGACACTGGAATTCTAACCACCATATATTTTTATACTGAAGTTCCACTAATACAATCTATATTTTTTCTGCAACATTGCCCATTTCCACAGCAAATGGTTTAGGAAAAGGCTGAGACCATGGCTGAGGTCCCTTAGCATCATGAAATCATGTAGCAAACTATTTATGTAAATTAAAAATCTCTACTTATTTTGTATTCTTCAACACAACTGGGTTCAACTTTACTTAAGGAGTGCTGATGATGCCCAAATCATCAGCATTCAGTTGTTCCCCCCACAAAGTAAGTTTCACTTAAACAATTTAGCACTGTCAATCATCTGTGTTATCTCCTGTTTTAGAGCCCACAGCTGCCATTTCTGTGCAACAGATCAGTTATATCTGTTAGTAAAGCAAGATTGTATATAAAAGTAAAATTGGTAAATTGAGGATTTTTAAATTTTCTTGGAGGAATCCATATTTTCTCAAATAAAAGAAAAAGAAAAACCGCACACTTGGACATTTCCCCAACTTAGTCATCTAATTTTGCTGTGACACAGAAGTTCACCATACTCATTGTTCATACTTGCTAGAAAAGAAGCATACCTGTGATTCAGTGCTTATGCACATACAATATTAATGGTTTTACCAACTACATCCATGCCTATTTTCTCCTGTGGGTTTCTACTACACACTTCTTGGTGCTTGTAGGTTTCTTCTACTACATTTCTTGGTGTTATATACTATTCTTCTATGACAGAACAGCTTTTTCAATGCACTCTACCAGTTCTTGAAACTATTGTTTTGGTACTTTTCAGTGGTATTAAGTATGGTAATTCTTCAGTTATTTTCAAATTACAATACATAATGAACTCTTGTGAACTATTTTACTATTTGAATCAATTGTTTCTTCACACTCTCTCTTAAATCTGGAGACGAATATATTAATGGACAAGCATATGCCTTCAAAACTTTTCTTCTTATCAAGCTAGATTTTTGTTTCCATTTATAAGCATTTTTTCTGAATAGGCTTTTTATAAAAGGTTATGATAAATTACCTATCATTTTACTTATCAGAAAATTGCTCTTAACTGCATCTTCACTAGGCTTGTTAACACATTGTTTTAATTTTTTTTTAAGTTGTTGCTTGGAAAAAGAAGTTGCAGAATTTTTCTTCTGCTCAAGTATTTTCAGTCCTTGCATCATATTTTTTACAATGCATCACATCACAATGCTGGCAAAGAAATAATTCTTGGGAAAGAAACCATTTGCTTACATATAAGGCATTGAATTTTACCTTTTACTTCTGTAAAAAGAAGAAAACACAAATACAAATTCTCCCATTTGCCTTAGAAAAATACTTTTTGTTCCACTTGTTTTCCCGCCAAAGCAATTGGAATTGCTGATCCAGTTTAAATTCTTGCATTTATAAATATCATCAATACATAACAAATTGCCTTAAAAAGAATTCTGCATAGAGTTGTACAGCTAAACTTCTGTCTATTTCTTTATTGCTTTTCAGTGCTATTGCTACTAATTATTGTTGTGGCTTGCAGAAAATGACTTGGAGTTGTTTGTAGCAAAGCATATTACAGGAAAATAGTCCATTTGGTTAAATTCATATTTCAATTGTGCAAATCCCAGAATCTTTTTCCCCCAATGTCCACATTCAATGTTGTAGGAACACAACCAGTGCAAAGGAAATTTACACATTAACAGAACAAGCCCTCATTCATTCATTCATTCATTCATTCATTCATTCATTCATTCATTCATTCATTCTCATTCGTATCCTGCCCATGTCCAAGCCCCTTGGCCAGCTAATATCCAAATAAAATCTCTTATCTTACCATTTTCTGATTACTGAAAATTTCTCAGGACAATAATTATTGACAGTGATCAGGAAATAGTTATAGATTGTTGGAGACGTTAGAGACATATATCAATAATACATCCAGTTTTTAGGACACTGAGTAATGTGTACTTGTTTTGGTTGTATTACACAGAGGAGCTGATGGCAAAGAATCTATTGAACCAGATGGTCATTCTCATTCACTGGAATGCCTTAAAGCAACTTGCAGAGGAACAGAGACAAGTCTAGCTGAATGTGCTTTAACCAGATTGAATCAGTTCAACGGGAAGCTGGCTAAGGTGATATGCCATGGAAACCACAGAGGTTGGTAAATAAGCTTAATGAAAAAACTCCTTTCTCTGTATATCTGTGTTAGTAGTTGTTTGTTATGGGTAGAGCAGAGATATGGCAGATTGCTTACTATAGTTAACAATAATAGATAGATAGATAGATAGATAGATAGATAGATAGATAGATAGATAGATAGATAGATAGATAGATAGATAGATAGATATCAGTACAGGTAGTCCTTCCTATCTGACCACAATAGGGACTGGAATTTAGATCACTAAGTGATTCAGTCATTAAGCGAATTGGAGCTGATTTTACGACCTTTTTACTACAGTCATTAAGCGAATCATCACATGGTTGTTAAGTGAATCACATGGTCATTAAGGAAATCCAGCTTCCCCAAAGGAGGTTTTTGCTGGAATTTGCTTAACAACCACGTGATTCACTTAATGACCATGTGACTCACTTGACAATGAGGTGATTCACTTAATGATTGTCATAAAAAAGGTCACAAATCATGATCACGTGACCGCGGGGGTCGTAAACCACTTTTCCCAAGGCCATTGTAACTCCAGACCATTGTTAAACAAACAGCTGTTAAGTGAGGATTACCTCTATTTAGATTTTTCTGTTTCACATATTTTACTGCTTCTATGCCTTTTATCCTTGAACATTAATGCTAATTATAATTTTATACTTAATTTTATAATTTACGCATTAGTTTCTTTAACTACGTAGCATACAAAGGAAGCACAGATTAGCTTTCAGTTGCAGTAATGAGATAAACCCCTATTTCGTTGGATCATTATTACTATTGTGGACTCATTTCCAAAACATAACTCTTAGTTTAGAAAACAATTCTTCCTAACCTGATACCCTCCAAACAGATTAGATTACAATCCCTCAGAACTATGGAGGTGAAGAAAGCTGTAGTCTAAATCATCTGAAGAGCTCTGGATCTGAGAATTCAGATTTAGTCATTTTTCATTTTGCAGAATATACTTTACCAAAATATTCTTTCTAATTTGATTGGATAGAATGCTCCTCCAGGGAGTTCCACTGTGTCAATGAAAAATGTATTAATTCAAATAAAGTATGCAATGGAATCAATGACTGTGGAGACTTAAGTGATGAACTTTGTTGCAAAGGTAGGCTATTTGCAATCATTCTTTGTGTGTTTAATCAGTGTATGTTTATGTGTGTGCTTCAAAGCTACCATAGCTGCTTTTCAAATAAATGCATAAATGTTTAGGTTGTGCCACTCTTCAAATTTAATTCTAAAAAGATCCTCTGGAGTGCATGACAGTGTCAGTATAAACTGTCTACAACTGCTTAAAGCAGCTGCATCTTTTTCTTGGAATTTTCAAGGAAGCTTATGAAATAATTCATGGTAATATGATTGGCTTTGATAATGAAGCTCAAGGTCAGATACTTTGGTCACCTAATGTGAAGAGAGGACTCTTTGG